TAATGAGTGATAAAACCTGTATCTATATCCTGTATCTATGATTACAACATTGCAGGATACAAAGCACTATATCCTCCCTATATTTTTTTTTTCTGTCTGAGCAAAGATATTCCTGTCCCTCACAATAAGTTATGGTCTTTAGGAAGAAGTATTCAATATGTGTTTCAGAATTTGCTTCTTATGATGATAGATAAAATACCCCTTTAACCATTCCTTCATCTCAGATGTTTTACAGATCAGACTAAACCCTTTTCTCTCCATTACATTAACGATAGCAAAACTGGTACAGGAAGTTCTTTGGGCTTTAAATCAGTTCAAAGTACTGATTAAGTGGCTATCAGCTACTTTGCTGATATTGCTGATAAAAGACTTTCATAATTCCACAGCTGCTAGTTGTTACATTAAATTGGATCAATTTATGATGCAAATATGTCAAAGGTGTTCATTCTGGAAAATGTTCTCTCTCTCTCTTTTTTAATTTTAGTCATTGCTTTGAGACTTACTGGGATACCTTTTTAATTGGTGCAACATCCAATTTGTGCATAAAATGAATCTGTATAACCAAGTACCAGAATGGTGAACACCAATGTGATATATGCCATCATGTGCCAGCAATGCCCCTCTGCCATGTACATTGGCCAAACTGGACAGTCTCTACGTAAAAGAATAAATGGACACAAATCAAACGTCAAGAATTATAACATTCAAAAACCAGTCGGAGAACACTTCAATCTCTTTGGTCACTCGATTACAGACCTAAAAGTTGCAATATTACAACAAAAAAACTTCAAAAACAGACTCCAACGAGAGACTGCTGAATTGGAATTAATTTGCAAACTGGATACAATTAACTTAGGCTTGAATAAAGACTGGAAGTGGATGGGTCATTACACAAAGAAAAACTATTTCCCCATGTTTATTTCCTCCCTTCCCCGCTGTTCCTCAGACGTTCTTGTCAACTGCTGGAAATGGCTCACCTTGATTATCACTACAAAAGGTCCCCCCGCCTCCTGCTGGTAATAGCTCACCTTACCTGATCACTCTCATTACACTGTATATGGTAACACCCATTGTTTCATGTTCTCTATGTATATAAATCTCCCCACTGTATTTTCCACTGAATGCATCCGATGAAGTGAGCTGTAGGTCACGAAAGCTTATGCTCAAATAAATTTGTTAGTCTCTAAGGTGCCACAAGTCCTCTGTTTCTTTTCACAATACAGTAAGATTTTTAAATGGCTCATATGCCCAGGTCTTGTTAAGAACTACCAGGATATGAAAGGTTCACCCGATCAAATATGTAATGGGATTTGATGGCTAAAGTTTAAGAGAGAAAGTCTTTAGTTGTAGATCAATAGCTACTCTCCTGTCAGGCAGCAAGTGTGTTGTCTATTATGTTAGTGATTAGGCTGACAGCCATTTCACAGACAGAAGAGAATCTGCCAGAGCTTCTTGCATGCCTCAAGCCTAGCCTGATCTGCACTGTGTAGATGCAAGACACGACATAAGTCTGGGTCATGATGATTGAGTTGGTGCTCTGTTCCTGCTTATATCTTTCCTGGGCATGCTATAGATTCTGACAAGTGAGGACATTTCTTATTGTCACAAGCAACTCCTTCACAGCATACAGTGGATCCACCGATGCTTCTTTTTCCACCCCAGAAGCTGCCCTTACCTTGAAATAATTGTACTTCTGTAGTGAGGAAAATGGAGTAATTAAATCAGTGTGTTTCATGACTAGAAAACTACTGGTCTCTGCCTGTGATGTGATATGATACAAGGTTTGAATTGGACCTAAATTCATACCCAACTCCATACTTCAGGAATCAGATTGCTCTCTACAGGGAGAACATGAAATGGAATATCTCATTGAAGATATTATTGGTCTAATAAGAGTCTGGCTTAGCCATCCAGGACAAATCTAACCTTGCAACACTTTGCTGTGGCAAGTTTGACAAGCTAAAAGTATTTTCTCGCCTCCCAGGCATGCCTAATGTGCCTGCATACAGTGTGCTATGCATGTGGTCTTCCGGTAACTGAGCAGCAATAAGAGAATTTGGAAAATTGACGATTTGCTTGATTTTTAGGGTTTTTTTTACTCCTTAGGGTTTGAAGGCTTGTCTATATTTCTTGTGTGTTTAAGTGTTAAAAAGAATTTCTTGTCTGGTGAACAAGCTACATCAAGTTCCCAGCAACAGAGTCAGGAACTCAAATTAAAGCTGGCCAAAAAGAAAGGGAAAATTGGTATTTTAAAAATACCAAACAAAACAAACCTTTTTTTAAGTCAACCTGTGATTGGATTGGTCAATCCACAGAGAGAAATTTTCATGGCCATTTCCTTGTTTTGTTTTGTTTTGTTTTGCCCACTCTTTTTTATTTTTGACATTTTAAATTTTGCCAAAATTCCAAACAAGTTGAGCAGAAATACTGTTAATGTTGTGCCAGCAAAATAAGGTAACATAAAAACTATCACCTGCTACAAGCCCCTGTTCAATCCTCCCAATCATGGGAGTGGGAACTCATTTGTAGGGCCAGATGTGACTGGTAGGGGATAGAAGTGGTTTAATGTGATTTTCTGTTTATTGTGAATTTTAAAACTTTGTAAGGGGCACCAAGAGCTTGGGAATGGATGCTTTCTCCTACCCACTTCATTCTTTTGCCCTATGATCTTTCCCTTGGATTACATATCTATAATTTATTGGCTGATTACCTACTGTTCTTTATCTTATGATCTGTTGGCTGTCTTTACCCACTATCCCCATGTGTGCATCTCACACTTAGTTCTTAAATTTTTCATGGCCATATCTATCCCCAGTCTCACTCAGAGCTCCTGAATTCACATGAAGGAATTCTGCATGTGGACCAAGGACCACGCTCATCTTTAATCAGAATTCAATTCTTATCATTTTTTACCATTATATACACTCCCTTGTTGTCCTTCCTGTTTAAATCTCTGCTTTATGCACTCCTTCCACTTGCTCTCTCTCCCACTGATGATAGGTCTGAGCTCCCCCTCTATCTGGCAGAAAAATACAAAGTCATGTGGATTTCCAAACTCACTAAGATGGATCTTGCTAAGTTCCTTAATCATCCTCCCCATACGGAGGTACTTGGATATAATTTGAGCCCACATGATGAACACCTACTACGTTGGGAAACTTTTCAGAACTATCCCCCAGGATAAGGGAAAATAATACTAATATCCTCTTGGTCTTCATTTTACTGCAAACACATGGCTCTTAAACCAAGATTCCCTTCATTCCCACAGTACATTAAGCCACTGAGCCATTGGCTCTCTTTCCTTAATCATACTGAATCTAATACCTACACTGATAAACTACCTAATTTAATTTTTGTTCCATGATAATTTCCTATGTTATATTAATTTAACCCCCATTCGTTCTGTTTACTTGATTTACCTGTAGCAATGATTACATTTCTAGTCACCTGTAGTATTTCTGTGGAGCTCTTCAATTATATATGTATACCCATATACAGTATTTTCTCAATTATTTATAAGTCTCAAAGATAGTGTTAACTTTGAGTAAATGCCCATGTCATGACTGATAATTAAACTTACCTTCAGTGAAGTATCCCCCCTAGTCCCCATTTATGCAATAGATTTTAGATGGAACGTGTATTTTTCTCTTTGGATATCTATGCTACACCCTGATATGCATTCATAAATGGGCAGACCCAAATAGAGAGACCCACTTTTGATATAATAAAGAAGTATTATGTGTTTGCACAATCTGTATGTGTATATTATACAAACACACACACACACACACAGATCTCATTCTCTTTCCTTTAAATATGTACCACTCTATCATGTGAAGAACTGGGTTAAATTAGTCCCTGATGTAACTCCACTAAAGATTTCAGTGGAGTTATGCCAGAGAAGAGTTTAGTCCATTATGAGAGGCAGCACTGTAGGATAGTACAATAATTGGTAGCACTATAATAAGATTAAAATAAGATGAAGCACAGTAAAGAAGAGTGAGGATAACATTGTGGATCCGCTCAGAAGTTTAGCATTTTCTTTGCTGAATACTGTAATTAGCTAAAGGTAGCATTATATCATTCACAGCTAAATGCAGACAACCAATTGATATACCTCTGCTTCCCCCAATCTCTAATGATGTAAGGTATCTGTTCACAATGAAGTACATTTCTCTGCCTGAAGTAGCCGCAGGTCTTCAGCCAAAAACACCTGAAGAACTGAAGAAAATTGATCACCGACAGAACTTTTGAAATAATCGTGCAAAAGACAATTTATTGTAAAAGATTTTGCTTTGAGCCCAAGTAATCTGAAAAATTGCTTACAGTTGGCAAGCGCTAATGGATTTACATGAAAAAATTGTAAAAATAATGACAAGGAATCAGGAAGAAATGACAAGAAGTAAGGAACAGGCTGACCTAGAATCAAATGATGAATTGTCTCTACAGCATTTTAGGAGCCAAGTATAAGAAGACTTCTTTTTCCAAGGCCTGTGAAATAATCAGGTACAGTAGTTGAGAAACAGATTATATCTCTGGTTTTGTTGCAGAACCCCTTGTAGAAGTACATGTGCTATATATTAATATGTGCAATGTGATTCTTCAAATCACACTATCATCCCATCAACAATTTGTGTGAGATCAAAAGAACTGTAATCTATATGTGAGTAGTTCTCCTCAATGAATCTACTCAAATCTGCAGGGAGACACTGATGAGTGTTTATGTTAAAGTATCCATGGAGATTTTATATATATTGTGTATATATATAATTATTCTACCTAAAAAAAATACCTAACTTTAAAAACATTGAAGGTGCTGCCCCTTTAGCAGTGTGTAAACTGGAAGTACTATTGAAGGGTAGTGTTCTGCTCTAAATATACCTGTTAAATACAACAATAGAAAGTAATGTTCTACTATTCAAACAAGGTGATTGGCTGAACTGTGTCTCATAACCACTGTGGCCGAACTGTGTCACATAAACCATTGGCGGAACTGTGTCACATAAACCACTTTCCACTCAGAGAGCAGCAGATTACCATTCACTGTTCTGACGTAGTCCATATGGCAGGTGTTTAAGTGCTTTTTTTTTCCTGTTTTTGATATGTGTGTGGGTGTGTGTCTGTGTGTGTGTGTGTGTGTGTGTTTTTAAACCATCAGTACAAAATGAAAATTTTATTTCAGCTGTGTTTGCATCATTAGCTTGCTAGCAACCATATAAGCCTAAATTATCCATGCAAGCAGTTTCATTTATTGAGATCTCTTGCAGTAAAAGAGCAGCAATCAAATCAGTCAGCCCAAATTATCCTTGACATTAACAAAGGGCTCTCGGATCATTGTAAGAAATGACTTTCTTCTCTTATTACCAGGCTGATTATGTTGTAGCTGCTGCTCCTGCAGCAGCACCACACAAAATCTAGTTTAAAATAAAAATGTTTATAAAGAGCATGTAATTTTCATTGCCAGTGTTTGTTGTGTTCAATGTTTTAATAAATATACATTATACAGATTCGCTACGATAGCTTGTACTTTCTTCAGCTGGGCAGCCACATGCAAAAAATATTCAGGCCCTGATTCTGCAACCTCAGCCACATCAGTAGATCCTTATGCTTGGGCCTAGTCCGTGGAGTACCAAGGGGCACTGCAGAGAATCAAAGGTCCATCTGTGTGTATCAGTTTGAGTTTACTGGGTAGAAGCATAAAGACAGAAGTTTAATACCCATCCAGTCTGTTTCTGGGGTACTAGCATTCTCACTAACAGTTTCTTATTCTTATCGAGTCTCTGGTGTCTGACTTCAGTGGGAGTCAGGATTTAGCTCTATTACATGGGAGCAGGACTGGTGTGCTCAAGAGGATCAAGGTGACTGGTATACTATCCATCAACATCTGAAATACATTGTCACTGGCATCCTCTCTGAACTCAATAGAAGTTTCCCATGTGGAAAAGCCAAGTAAAACCAGAAGATCTGGCTCTTAATGTAACTTGGCTCCCCTCCTTGTAACATAGGGCCCAATAATCATTACTTCTACTAACATAGTTAACTAATGGGCACTGTTCAGAGTTCAGCTAACAGCACTGACTAGACAGCTATGAAAAACTAAGATGTGACAAGAAATCAAGTATAATAGGACTTTTTTCCCTATTTTCCTATTTCTATTTTTTTTCCTAAGTTGCAGATTTTGGGGGTTAAGAAAACCCATCATGCTTGCTCCAAATCCATTGAAAACATGGGGGAAAACAAAGCTACCAAGCAGGGAAAGGACAAAATTAGTAGAAAGGAAAAACATACTCAAGTGTCAAAGAGCAAAAATATAATTAAAGCTAGTAAAACAATATCGTTGTATTGACAGTGTCCTACAAAGTACTTCTAGTTTGGGGTCTAAATATTATTTCCAGTTAAGCGTTGTCAATGGAAACAAATATGGCCCTGTGGTTAAAGCAGTACTTACTTTGTGCCAGGGCTGAGCCAGGGCACCTCTAGACTTGGCAGTACATAGCCCTGGCACCTCTGGGCTTGCCATGTCAGCTATAAAAATAAAATATTGCTTGAGCCCCAGCACCTCTTTCATTACAAATTAAGCACTGGGTTAAAGCACTGGACTTGGACTCAGGAACTCTGGATTCAGATTCCAGCCCTGTTCTACGCCAGGCGCTTTATCCTCTCTCTGCCTCAACTCCCCATCTTTAATGTGCAGAGGATACTCTACGCAGCATTCTGAGGATAAATTCCTGTGTTAACAGCTGCCATATGAGAACACAGATAGATTGAGGAGCTGCTGTCTGATGGTTGGAGCAGGGGACTAGTAGACAGAACTCCTGAAATCTACTCCAACCTCTGCCACTGAGACAGTGATGCGGAATCAGTGTATGCCTTTGGCAAGGTCTCAGGTTCACATATGCCTGTATGAAAGATCATAATGCTTATTTTCTGGGAGCATGGGAGAATTGGGGAATTTAATTAATTAAGGCTTATGATGTTCCTTGAGATACTTAAATGAAAAATGCCTCAGAAATGCAATGTATTATTACTAATCTCTTTAAAAAAACAGAAATAACTGTAATTAGAGGGCCATACCCTGCTCTCAGTTTTGAAGCGGAACTCTCCATTATTCTCAGTTGTTCACAGTTCATTGCTTTCTGGTTCCTGTAATAGAAAAACAAACAATAATGATATAGGCAGTGATTTGCTTGATTCAGAAAACTAAACACTCCAAAGCTGCCTTTTTCTTGAACTCAACCCTTCTAAAATGTTTGGTTACTTTTTATTCTACATGTACCTTAAAAAAACCAAAAACATCAGCTATATCCTGATGCCTCCCAACCACTCCTATCATGATGCCTGGCATGAAACACTGTGTTTTCAGAAGAGTGATTGAAAACAATGGGGAATTCTCCTTCAAACTTCACGACACAATGGCAAAGCTCACATTGACTTCAAACAGTCCTGGATTTCACTCATTACATATGAAGAGTCCTCCAAAACTGATGGCATGACATGAGTTATACTATGTCCCTCTTTAATTACATGGTAATTACATAAAGTTTCCCTGGGTAAATATTCTGATTTGTATTATACCATAAGTTCTGAAGAACTCTCCATTATTTTCAGTCACTTTTTCCAAGACACTGATAGGATGCCAGTTCAAGATAGGACTGGTTGAGTGGCAGCCAAATATCGTTGATATGCATGTTTTTAAATGTATATAAATATACACATAGATACACAGCTTGATTGTATCTGCACATACTTTGATTGTACTGGTTCCAGGGCCTCCACCTGTACCATGGATTACAGTATCCCCTTTCTCCACCATTCATATGTTGCTTGCCTTCCTAGATGGTAAGCTTTTCATGGAAGGGTTCATGTTTGGACAGTATCTATCACAATTATTTTCTGTATGCAGCAGCACTTAGAGGCCCCAACAACATCAGCGCCCCGTTGTGCTGTACAGGCACATTATAAGCTTTTGGGGGCAAGGACTTACTATCTTAATAAATAAGACATGCAAAGGATGGAAGGTGAACCAGAGATGCAAAGACTTGCCCAAGGTCACAAAGCTGGTCAGCGGATCTCATATCTTCTGAGTCCCTGGCCAGAGCCCATACCACTAAACCACATTCCTATGCGGCCCTGATCCTGTTCAGGCTTTTGAGTTCTCCTACAACTCAGATAAACAATACGAATAGTAATCAAGGATAATCCTATTGCTTTCTTTCCAAGGGAATAAATGATAAAGGTAGGACTTCAGAATTTCTGGTTGATTCCACTAATAAGTTAATGCACTAGATGCATTAGTAGATCATTTTGACATTTAAAGTTTGTTATAGCATGTCACTGCCTAAGCAGATTTGCTGAGTTGACACCCTGAAAATATAGCTGAAATTTTCCTTGAGTTCCTTAGTTCATCACCCTTTTTATTACCACACATACAGTTGATCTGACTTATCTAGTACATCAGCAGAAATTTTCTAAATCTTACCAGTGCATTACTACCAACAGCTGGCTAGATTCCACAAGGTGCTAGATTCCACAAGGTACTAGACACATTGGTAGATATTATGATTGATAGTCCTCTTTCATCAGTGCATTACTCTCGAGAGCTAGAAGTAGGCAGAAAACACTTTTTGAAAATAAACCAGGGCTAAAGACATGGACCTGTCCTTCCATTGAGCCCTGCCTCATCTATGACCCTAGAGAAGACAGAGTGTCCTGAGGCAGCAGGAGGCAGGGAGTGGAGGATTAGAGAACTGTTGGTTCCAAGGCAGAAAAGTCCTGGGGTAGCAGGACTCAGAAAACTGTAGCTTCTGGGTCAGGAGAGTACTAGGAAAAGGATGGCTGTTCCCCTATCCCAGGTGTGAAGAGAGGGTAAGTGGAATCTCCATCTGAGCAGCCAAGGAGAGGCTTGCATTTTTGTGTGCATTAAAAATGGTCCTTTAAAGTTGTAATTTAGTGTGAAATTATCACACACATGGGCAGAGGAGTAGAGAAGAGTTAAAAAGTCAAGAGACAGACTAAGAAATATGATATTGTTTCATTTTTTTTAATCTCATGAATTTTTAGCCAGCCATTATTTTGGAGGGTCTGACTCATAATTTTTGATCTCCTGAGGTTGGCAAGTCTGCAGGTCTCATCATTTACTCAGTAACCCAAGCTCAAAGAGTGCAAACAATGCGTAAAATGATTAACACGGGGTGATGGGAAGAAGTCACCTATGTGTATCACACTTTTGTGCTTTGCAGTTTGCTATTTCAAAGGTAAAGACATTTTGCCAATATAGATAGATCTGTAAGGAAATGCTGTCTCATCACACAAGATCGCATAAGTGAAATGTGCTATTGTTTGGAACAGGTGTTCTGAGGAGGAAGAGTGGGTGCATTGTTATGTTGTTAATATACATCTGATCCTGATCCCACGCCACTTCCCGCAGCTCCCATTGGCTGGGAACGGCAAACCGCAAATGTAAACAAACTGTCTGGCACCCGCCAGTGGATTATCCTGACGGGCCGCATGAGGCCTGCGGGCTGCAGGTTGCCCACCACTAGTCTAAAGGGTCAGTCACGGACTGTAGCTTTTTGATTCAATCTAAAGCTAGCTACTTCCGTTCCCTCACATACCTGGTCTTTGGGCAAGAAATTATCATTTAAACCCACCAATCCCCATGGCCTTTTTTTAAAATAAATCTTTACAAGCCTCTGGCTCAAAAGCTAGTTCAGTGTGGTATCTATGTCAAAGAAACATAGAAGGCAAATACGCTTATTTACTAGAACTGCTTGGAAACTTCCTGTCAATGATTTTCTCACCCCTGTTTGCAAATTCAAAATTTTCCACAGGAAAATTTCAGTTTTGGGGGGGAAAAATGTTTTTCCGTCAAGAAAATTAAAATGACAGGTACCTGTCTGCCTGCCTGGGAGACTCTTGCTATGGCAGAAAGTGAAATTGACTTGAGCCTTCCATGTAGGCAGGCAAGGCTGACTGCCCTCAGCCACTCCACTTCGCTCCTAGCTACAGGGCTGGAATCAGAGAGCTGGACTGCTTAGCCAGAGACAGAGAGACATAGCACTAAGCTTCCCCATCTTCCCTCCAAGCTCTGGGGCCAGAGATGCTGAACACCCCAGGTCTCTGCCTCTCTAGTGGCTGGTCTGGAAGGCTCTTGTCAATTTTATCTGCAGGTGAAAAGTAAAATTGACAAGGGCCTTTGAGGGGAGCATCTGGGAAGGCAAAAAAAAAAAAAAAATCCATTTGGGCTCTCCTGAAATGGAATTTTCTTGAAATCCCTTCCTACAAAAAAAAATCATGGATTTGATGCTTTGCCCTGGTTCAGAACAAAAATTAACTCAAAAATCAAAATTTTCCTCAGAGGCAATTTCTGTTTTCCAGCCAGCTCAACTATTTACTGCAGAAGGTTTGAAAAGACATGAAAGTAAGAAGTCTAAATTACTGATCTGTTTTGCCTTTCCTGACAGCTTCTTTCAATCTTCTCTTGTTCCCGAGATCCACTAACTTACTAACAAGAAAAAGAAAAGGGAGAGCATGCAGGGAGAGTATTTTGAGGAGGATAAAAATGCTGTGGATAGGCTGTGACAGCCTTCTTTCTTGAGAGGATGTTATCCCCTAATCCAGGGATTTTTGCTCCTAAATTTTTAAAGTTAAACCTGGTGCAGTTCTTAAAAATATTTTTCAATGAATCTGTGTAGCTTTTTAATCCCGTTAGAATAGATGTGTTGCCTTAAGAATACTCCACATGCTTGCTTTCTTTCCTTCCTAGGGGTTTATTATTCTGCATTCAAATTTTGTGCATGTAATTGCGATTAATATCAATTGGAGAGACAACTCTCTAAATCAAATTTGATGTGTTGTAGGTGTAGGCATAGCTGTGCTCAACACAATAGTTTTGGCTTCCAGTTCTTCCTGACAATCTGTTCTCAGTTTTGTGTCTGCACTCCTTTGCCTTCACTTGGAGTTTCAGGTTCACATGAACTGAAATACTAAAAGCAAAACATTGCCAGAGTCACCAAGAGTTGCCTGATTCCAGTTAGAAATTGACTGTAGACTTAAATGCCTGACTGTATTCTGCAGATATACTTGTACAAATGTACAACATCGCCCTTGCACTGGTTTCAAACAGAGGTTAGTTGCATCCGTACAAGCCCCTTTTTACACTGCTGCAACATTAGCTACATTAGCACAATTATCCCCAGTTCATACGGGCCTTAAGATGCAATGAGAACCAAAAGTTAATTACCGGGGAGTTGGTCAGGCTTTTAGGTTAATGTCTGATATCCACCCATGTTCCCAAAGGTTCTGGACCCATGTTGCTTATTGGAAGAAATGTGACTCAATATCAGCTTTATACATTTTATTAAAACTACTCAACAAAAATAAATTTGAGAAAATATTTCTCCAAAGCTAAGCTATTATTAATGCTACTAAACTAAGAATTCAGCAATACAACTATCAAATCAAGGTCAAATCAACAAGATAGTCTCAATATTAGATTAAATTATCAGATTGGTTAAATCACTAGGTTAATACAACAGATAATCAACTCTTATAATTCTGAAGAAGAGATCTAAGGAGGTTGCTGTCCATCTGATTATAAATCCCAACTAAAGAAGTTTACCAAAGTCAGTCAAAGCTATAACTGGGAGCTGGTAAAATATCTTAATACTGAAACCAAATGATCCAGTGTCTGAACCATAACCTTAGTGCCAATTATAAAGCTTGTTCCTTTGATTTCAATTGTTGCATGAGGTCTAAACCCTTGCTTCCCTACCCAGCAGATAAGGGACAGACTAATAGAACCTTTTTTTCTCAAGCGGAAGTTTGACAACTCCTATGTACCAATATTAATATAAATAAGGGTTTAAATACAGAACACACAGTAATGATTTTTTTAATGAGACAACACTTAAGCCAGGTAAAACCTAGATCATTTTCTGTGTGTGGCATGTTCCCAGTGTGGACTTTATAGACAGACATGCCTACACACAACCATACTCTCATATCTCAAAGAATATAAAAAGGCTGTCCCTCAGCTAATAAAAACAAAACCAGTAAAAAGGGAAAAAATAGATCTTTGAGGTTAGAGGGCGGCTTCAAACTTCTTCAGCTCTCAATTTTCTAGACTCTTATGGAATAGGAGC